TACTACTTCCACCCCTTTCTGCTGCTTTGGATCCTTTACATTGACACTCCCTCCCTCTCTCACCCTCTGCTTTCTCTCCTCCCATTTCTTTCCAACTTTGCCCATGTTGCACCTCTGTGCCCTCACCCCACCCTGCCTCTCTTTACCCTCAATTCCTCAGTTGAAATAATTTCTGCAGCTCAACTGCTCCTCTTAGTGTCTTAACAGGAACATCGCAGGTAGTGTTCAAATTAAATCCTTTATTGCTAGCTCTTTATGTTCATATTTGATGATTGAATCCATCTTACTTTAAAAAGTTACTAATAAAATTTTGTTTTGTGAATTTTGAGCCTAAAGTAGATGAAAAGGAAGCAGAACTTGTTAAAGAAAGTAGCAGTAGATGGCCCTTTCTTTTCCTTATTATAATGTAGGATTACTTCAAGTGTATTTTTGGACGTTGTCTCCTTTATAATTTCTCTTCAGTCTAGATATATTTCACAGGGATTTAATGTAATTCAAAAACACCAAGCGGTTCATAACAGGTTCTGAAGGAAAATGATTTAAAATTTTCTTTTTACAAATAAAACCTGAAAAGTGTAACCTGCTTTTGTAATCAGTTCCAGTGAGTGATGATGCTGCCACCATGTTTCACAGTGAGGCTAGTTTGGTCCAGGTAGAGAAGGCATGCCCAAAGTCGGTTCTCGAAGGCCGCTGTCCTGCAGGTTTCTGAGGTTTCCCTGCTTCAGCACAGCTGCCCTCCGTTTATAACTTTTTAACAGGCCTTTGCTGAACTGCAGTCATCATAATCAGCTGAGCTGAAGCTGAGAAACCTCTAAAGCCTGTAGGACAGAGGCCCTAAAGGACCGATTTATGCCTGAGGTACATTTAACATAGATCTTCAAGTGTAGAACAAAAAGTGGTGGTGTGTCTTATCTGGCCAGAATGTGTTATTTCATGTGATTCTTGTTTCCCACGTAAGACCGGTGTCTCTACAATTCCTCTAAAGTTATGATTCACCTCTTGATTACTTTCCTGATGAAGGCACTTTTTGCCTGGCCTGCCATTTTGATTTGGAAAGTTTGATGTTAATTCAAACTCATCAAACAATGAATCGGCTAAAGAAGATATTAAGTGTTATTAGTAGATTCTATTTAGGGTAGAGTGAAGGAGATTGAATATCGCATGCCATATATTTGCAATGCTTTTCAGATGATGATGAAGTGTCCTTCCAATCAACAATAATGATTTGCTCTGAGCTCATATATGATTATTGAAAAATGCACTTAAATTTGTGTTAAACCCACAGCTTTACAAGCAGCAATTAGCCTCCTGATAATAGTTAATCTTTTCACATGTAATTTAAATAATGTCCTTAGCTCTAAATAAAGGGATAAATGCCCTAAAATATCAGATCCAGGTGGTGAACATGTAACTCTAATGCAATCATCCACATTTCAGAGAGCATGGGTCAAATACATGCTTTTCAAAATTAATGTGTTTTAAATAACAGGCTGCTATGAAATTCAACAATTATTAGTAAATTATTATTTATCAGTAAGATTAAAAATGCAAGTATTTTCTACAGATTCCTTCTGAGTTATTTCTGAAAGTTTGGAACAAACTCAGGTTATCATTAATCTTTTCCCTGATGGAATTGGTGCCATCATGGGAGCCATTTCCTTTTCCCTCTCATTCTGCGACGGGAATGCATCAAGACAAGAAAATAAGCTCATCACCAACATTACTCTAAATGTGTTTAAACCTGTTTCAGTGTAATGGAAGACAGACTGGTGACACCACAATACACTGTTTATTATTTTATGTTTTACTAATGTAATAGGCCTATATAAACCCAAAACGGTGTTAACAAGTTAGTAGAAAAACATTTAGGGCAGACTATTTTTTTGGTTTCCAACAACACAACAAAAGAGGATAAAATATATGGCCATTTGTAAAGTGCTGTTTGTTCCTTTCTGAGTAAAACACCCCAGAGGAGCTCATTACCAACGGCGCTTTATGAAGGTTTGATCAGTTTCTCTAGATTTTAGGGGCCTCCCATTCAAGTCCTCCTTTGGCCAATGGAGGCAGCCTTTATAGAGAAGCACTGAGTCGGATCAAAGAGCCGCTCTGCAGGTTCACCACCCACCGACCCGCCTGCAGTTTGTCTTATAGACCCGGTTATGAATTGAAGAGCTCGCTTCAACACACATTCTTTTTTTTTTCCTCACCGTCTGTCTGTGAATGTGCAGGGTAATATGTCCCTATTATTAACTGTGTGTGTATGAATGTGTGTGTCTTTTTATTTCAAACTCCAAAGAAGGAAAGGATTAGGAGATTTTTGAGGCACTCGCCCTTTTACTCAAACAAATTATTCACTTCAGCTAATAAAAGGAATCTGACCCACGTGAACTTTCTACAAAGGCTGGGTGAAGTTAAGCAATAAGATTCTACCCCCATGGATGGACGGATGGATGGATGATTGATCTAATTAATCACTGATTATGCTGCATTATTTATTCCATTTGGGATCAATATACATTTTTTGATCAGCGACTGCATTTCAAGCACCTTAGGCCACCCTCTATTATCTTAAGTGCCTGAAAAAAATCTTCCTGCACCTTGAACATTTTTTTACATGTTGTTCTGCTACAGCTGTTAACTGAAAAGTATTTCTTCTGGATTTTATGCAATCAATCAAATGGAAAAATGTGCATAATTATAAAGTGTGAAATTAACCACTCAACATGGCCCTGCATCAGATTAAAGGGACCTAAATACGTATGTGTTCCCAACACTTTTCCGATTGTATTTCTAATTAAAAATACTAAGGTGTTAGTTTTAAACTCATGTATATATTTCCTTTGATGTTAAAACTATATTATGTTAAAGAGAAAATGTGCCTTTATTAAAGCTCTGCAAAATATTAAAGTTTAAATTAGAGTTAAAATTATTATTCTGCACTCCAGTAAATGAGTCATCAAATGAGTATTCAAGTGTCTGGCATTCATTTGTGTTCTGTGATCTTTGCTCTGAAACGTTTTAGATGTCACCACACTGGAAAAAAAAAAACGATCTTGAAATAAGTAAAATTTTCTTAAATCCAGTGTATTTACACTTAAAGGGGAACACCGGTTTTTTTACATTGGCCCCTTGATTTTACGTTATTACATCATGTTCTACTCACCCATATGAGTTTTGTGTCATTTGGAACGGTTCTGAAGATATTCCGTTAGGTATATCCAAGTAACTTCTTCGTATGGGCAACGAGTTCAAAGCACAAACTAAACTGTTCATAATTTATTCTTTATGGTACGCCAGCATTCATAACATGTAGGTGAATCACTGTCCCCCAGACATCCGCAGTTATATTTTTTATATTTAAAAAACAAACCGGTGCGTGTATGACGTCATCCGTGTGTGCCGGCTACTGTTCATTCTTCCTGTCCGCTGAACTGCTGCTAGTTTTACTCACATGCCTGGAAGATGTCTAGTGCTACTACCACAGATGATCTCGCTCTTGAAATGAAATTTAACGATTCAGATTAGCTAGCCGAATGAATAGAAGGGGTACAGCGTAGCCGCCTGTGGCCCAGGCTGCCTGTCACATCTCCAGTCCGGTGCGGGGATGACATCATACACACTCCGCTTTGTTTTTTTTTAAAAATAACCACAGATGTCTGGGGGACAGTGATTCGCCTACATGTTATGAATGCTGGCGTACATTAAAGAATAAATTATGAACGGTTTAGTTTGTGCCTTCAAGTCGTTGCCAAAAGGAAGACATTACTTGGATATAACAAAACCGAATATCTTCAGAACAGCTCCAACTGACACAAAACTCATATGGGTGAGTAGAACATGATGTATTAACATAAAATCAAGGGCCCAATATTAAAAAAAAATGCCGTTCCCCTTTAATTTGAGCAGGTAAATGAGATGGTTTTCCAATGGAATGAGTATTTTTACTCTTAAAATAAGATAATTAGATAATATGCACTTGAAATAAGACAATGCAAATTGTGTGTTCTTATTTTAAGTGTAAATTGTCTTGTTCCATCGGCAAAATGTCTCTTTTACCTCCTCAATCCAAGAACAAATGCACTTATTTTAAGAAAAAATAACCCATCTAGATTTTGATTTTTTCCAGTGCATTAACTATGAAAAGGAGCAAGGAGACATCTGAGTATGCTACCACTGTCTGGAGGAACATTACAATAGCTGCTAATGAGGATAAACTAATATGACAAACATTTTACATTTGTTAATATCTGAAATACATTTTCCCTTTCAATTATTTGTTCTGGAAAATATCCTGATTATTCAAATTTGTTCTATGTATGCGGACCAAAATTGGGTAATATGGATTCTGTAGTAGACATTTGATAGATGTGATGCCTAATGTGAGGTGAGGGCTTCTTACCAGTTGTTCATCTGATCTCCTCACGTGGTGACAGAAGGGGGGAGGCGGTTCCGACCTGAAAGCTGGGTGCGAAAAAGAGGAGGAGTGTAAACTTAAACAAGAAATAGGAGAGATGGTTTTAAAGCAGCTGCAGCGGGACAAGAATTAGTCACTCCGCTGCTTTGGTCCAGGTTTCGATATTATTGTCAATAAGTATATTTATATTTCATTGTCTAAACGAGACAACAGAAATCTACATGTCACTATGTGGCTTGTTTCATCTGTCCGCGAAGAAGAGAAGCTTTACGCAAAACTGGAATAATCTGTGAACCGTTTTACGCACAATGTTTTGATCTGCGTAAAAGGGAGGAAGGTGGATTTCTGGATGTTTTGTTTTCCTCAGTGTGACTTCAGACTGGAATCCGATTGCTTGACACCCTGGGATACACTTTTATTGAAAATAAGGATAATTTAATGCAGGAGGAGTTTGGTTATAAAAGGAAAACTTTGTTCATATCTGAGTTTGCTGAGCTGGATCCGGACCTGCAGAGTTTCCATTTAGCTCCCCTCTTTGGAAACTAATCAGGACGCGTGGTGAATCCTTTCGCCCATGTCTCAGCAGAGCACTTTGCCCCGCACTGGCTGCTCCGCGCTGCCGCGGCGGGCAATTATGGACAACAGCCCCGTCCTGAGGAGACGAACCGGAGCCGCCCCACATCTGCTCCAGCTGGCGGTCCTCCTCGCCTGCAGCTCCCAGCTTCGGATGGTGGAGGCAAACTCATGGTGGTGAGCGACTGATCTCTGACATATAATTTGAAAAATGTTTTAAACGCCAATTAACCATTGTTTGTTTTACGCATACATTGCGCATCATCACAACATGTTCCAAATCCATTTGTTTTCCAGATCCATTTGTTTTTGTTCTTTAAGGTTTTTTTCCCCCCTCTTGTTGTTGGGTGCTGGCTTTGATGGGACAAATGTGAAGGCTCTGTCACAATATTTATCCTGGCTGTCCCCCAAATGGCAAAGCCCGTGCCCTCAACACGCTAAATTATCAACACTTGCTCCTGTCCTGCACAGCATTGGATTGGATGGACGTTTGTGTCTCTGTGATGCAGAACATCACTGACATGCATGAGCTGCTGAATCTGGAAACAATATGAAAGCTTGGTAGTTTGTTTCATTTACTGAGGGGCCAAGAGCTTTTTTTTCTGGGGAGGGGCTAAGGGATCTAAGGAGCCATAAAGATAGAGGCGGTAGAGATGTTCTCCACAGGAGTCTATTTATTTTTGTTTTATAGCCCACTTGTCCCTATAAAACCAGGGTCTGACTTCTGTGCTCTGTTGCACAGATAGATTGACTGGATTCCCTATTTAATCAGATTTAAATGTAATATCCTCTGCATCTCTCAGGTCTCTAGGTCTGACCCCAATCCAGCGACCTGAGATGTACATCATTGGCGCTCAGCCTCTCTGCAGTCAGCTCTCTGGCCTTTCGCAGGTAAATGTCCCCAGACCATGGGAATCTCCCCACTGGGACCACTCAAAGCGTCGAGCCATTAAGCAGCTAATCTCTGCTAATCTTTGTCGTTGTTTCTGTGTGGCCCTGCAGAGTCAGAGGAAGCTGTGCCAGCTGTACCAAGATCATATGAGCTTCATCGGGGATGGAGCGAGAACGGGCATCAAAGAGTGCCAGTACCAGTTCAGGCAGAGGAGGTGGAACTGCAGCACTGTGGACAACACATCTGTGTTTGGGCGGGTCATGCACATTGGTGAGTTCTCATGTTGTGTGAGTGGGAAATTTCAAAGCAACAGACATGTTTGACTGGTGTTTTGAAGAAGTTAAATATAAATGCATTTGTTTCTTTTTTAAAAAGCCAAAACATAAATATATTTTTTTTAATGCTTAATTTTTTCTAGATATCTACTGCAGAGTACCAGAATTTTAAAGTTTCAAAACTGCACCATTTCCCCAATGTTGACACACATTGGGGAAGTGATGTAGTTTTGAAACTTTAAAATTCCCACAATGTATTCCTTTCAAAGAAGATTCAACAGAAAGTAATCTGAACAATTAACAAGCAGTATAACACATAGAGCTTGGCAGAGCTGCCCTTCTCAATTTTAAAGAATATAGCTTATATAATTTTCTTAAATAACCTTCTATAATGCCATGGAACTCCAATAGTGTTGCATGCAGTGAGAATCTTATGCCAACTTCATTCTTTCGATAGAAAGTTGAAGATATGCAGGGAATGTGAGGGGAAAGGGCCACTTTATGAACAAGCTTGCAATAAATAAAAGGAATATTGGTCATAGAGAATCCAGTCATTTCCAATATATTTGTCTTATTTATTAGTGTTGGTTTTTTATTTTTTTATTTAAATGCCATTCCAAAATCTATATTTAGATAAGTCTTTTTTGTGCATTATTTTGTGCACAAATTATTTTACTCAGGAAAATGGTCTTTAAAGGTGAACATTGAAATATTAACACAACTTTTGGATGGTTTTGTATGCCATTGAAACCCTAGACTTCATCAAACCTAACAAGCATTTATTCCAAACTTGTTTTAATCCATCAAATTACAGCGAGTAGTTTTTGTTTGCCTGTTTTTTTTGGTTTTTTTTTTGCCGATAGAAAATGTATAAAGAATACATAAAAATGTTATAGCAACAAAACCATTGAGGAAAGGCCACAAATGATAGGATTGAGCACAAATAGACCAAATGTTTACACCTTCCATCATACCAGAGCAATAAAAAAATAATAATAAATAAATGTCTAGTAGGCCAACAAAGTTGAAATGTAACTTTCATTTCATCGTTTAACTTTGGCGCGAGCGCATGATCAGCGCAGCGCGCGCGTAAAGACGCGCGTAATGAAAGCGTTTCTTTAGTAATCAGTAAGTTTCGGTCCTGGATCCGCATCCAGCGCGTCTGAATTCCGAGGTGGCGATGACGGGATGGTCTAATCAACAAGTAGGTGTGAAATCCGCTGCAGGCGCTCAGTCAGTCAGAGCTGCGCCTCTCTCTCCCTCCGGATTGACGGTGGTCTGTCCTCCAGGTTTAGACGGAGGTGTGAGGGCAGCCCATTGTCCCGCGGCTCTTCTTTTGAAATGCGCTGATGAGCTGACATCGAGCCGGCAGATCCGGACCTGCTATTTGAAGTCGACTCTCCACAGTCCCATAAACCTGACGGGGGAAACTGTTTCTTTAAAAGTGCAGCGAATAATAAAAAAAGGCTCACACGCCTCGGTTTGTTTCATGCATACCTGGCTGTCTGGCTGGCTGGTGTTTATTCCAGTCTGCTGCGTTATAAAAGCGCACCGTGGGGCCATAGGTGATCTATAAAAATAGCTCACTACTGACCTGCTTTCAAGTAAACTGACTAAATAATAATATTAGAATAGAAAATCCTTTTTTCCCCCACAATGGGGAAATTCTGTTGTTTACAGCAGCAAAAAGATTTTAAAAAAATGTCACACAAATGTGGACCTTAGAAAAATGTTTAAGAATAAGATAATAGTGAAAAGTTGAAAGATAAACAATAAAATACTGCACTGTAAAGTGTTTTAACAATATAAAACTGTGCATCTGGACAATAAATAACCAATATCCGCTATGGACATTTTTACAGTCATGGATATCTGAAAATAGCAGCAACATCAGAGATATGCAAAATGAGAGCAGCATGTTATTTTAATTAACTAATGTAGAAACTGTGCAAAATCAGCATGAATGTAAAAACTTATTGAGGTTGTTGGGATCTGTGATGGTTATAAAGTCTTACAAAACACTAAATAGTTACATTAACAGAGCAGTTAAAGTACTGCCAAATAGATGCTTATTATAGTAGAAGCATAAAGGCGCACCATGATAGGCGACATAAGTTTTGGGGCGCCACAAGTACACATAGATCTTTGTTGTATTCCAAACATGTTTTTTGTTTCATAATTAATTGTCTAGTGTGGAGCCCCTCTTTTTTTCAGTGTAAAAATGAGACGATGAAATTACAAATTATAATTGGTTATAAATATGAAGTATAAATATTTCATTGTAAGTTTAATATTGTTACCTTTTACTCAAAGTTGGTTATAAGTAGTGTGTTGTCTGCCGTGACCTTTTTTAAAGACAGCAGAAGATTTTCTCATATCTTTCAGTCTTTATGCACCTTAAATAAAAAAAACGAAAACTACAAAACAGGCAATAAGGATTCATGATATTTATATTCAAACTGTTTTTCATATATAAATAATTTAAAGATAAATTATAAATAAGTAAAGAATTAATTTTTGCGGGAATGCAATGGCATGAAGGCTGTAACTTTACGATAAAAGCTGGTGGGGACGCCCTAACGGTGGTGGCTGATGGACCTACACCTACTCAATCCGAACGCTTTCAATAGGGTTTATATTTTCCAAAAATGAGCTCAAACACATGTATATTGAATGCTTCACTATTGTTGAGAACACAAGAGAACCACAATACATTTGTGGTATTTATAGTTATAAACAGATGCCAGCCTTTCGTGCATTATTTTATAAAGGGCTCAAAAACATTAATGTATAAATAATGACAAATAACAGCCGATACCGATGCCAACATCAATATATCCTGCATCCCTAGTATGGACACAGCTTCACTTCCATCAATCCATCCATGCATGGCTTTCCTTTAAGCTGCATCAGTGATTATCATGTATGACTGCATCAGTGATTATTCACAAGCAGCAAAATCAAATTTAGAAATTTGTCCCATGTGTCATTGACAGTCAGTCTATATATTGAACCTTTATATTTCAAAAATCATTTATACACTGGTTTGTATTTTGTGCTTTAATTCTTGTAGGTTTCTTATACTTTAATTTTCAGTCTGTGTCCTGTGAGTCTGACTCTCTCTGGGTTGCAGCTATTTCTGAGTCTCGTTGAACTACAAAAGACAAAATTATATGTTGAATTTTATTATAGCGTTGCATATTTTTTCTTGTAAACTTGGAGATATATTTTATTGCATGTTGCACATCCCAGTAAATCTGTTTCACCCTTAAATCTGCAGCTGTCCCTAATTGTGTCTCTTCTCTGCTTAAAAACAGATTTATGAACCTGTCTACCAATATAATGATGCCTGACAAAATCATTTTCAGGATCTCTAGAAGAAAACAACAGATATGTGTTAATTTTAATCTGTAACTCTGAGTATGTTCCTGAGAAGCCCAGCTTTTTTAACTCATATAAATGTACATCTGCTGCCATTTTTAGCTTAAAAGGTCTGTATGTGTAACTAACGGATTTTTCGGTGGCATCTCAATTTTTTTTAACCAACCAGTCTCCTAACTTTTACTTACCGGTAAACATATATCGGAGTATCTGTCGGTGAAAAATTCACTGAGAGCTGCTGCATATTTATGTTTAAACGGCTTGCCATACCCGGTATCTCTTCTCATCCTCGTAGCTACTCTGTACGCAGAAAATTGCGACACCAATATTACCGGTATGTCCCAAAACGACAGATCCCATGATGTTTCACCGAGAGGTGGGACTCGAGAGCAGCGGGAAAGCGAGATAAAAACACGGACTGAAAACGCTCTGAACACGGTTAGCTGCACCCAACCCCAGTTACTGTTGGCTAATGTAAATCGGCGGAAAGGGGGAAAAAGCAGAAATTATTGGTGGGGATCAAATATCAGTTGTCCTCAGAAGTTGGCCTGTTACAGTAGGTAATGGAGTTTATCTGTAAAACTCTAAAATTTGATAGAAAATACAGCACAAATGGCTCAGGGAGCACAGAAGATGGGTGAATTATTACGCAGCTGAGCAGCTTATAGCAGAGTTAGAGGTTTAGAAAAATAACCCACGCTTTAAAAGAACAATGACTGCAAATCTGAACCCAGAATATACCTAAACTTGATGGTTGATGATCACAGCTGCTCTATGTGCAGTCAGATATGATGATATCCAATCTATCCACAAAATACTTAATAAAAGGTATACAGTTTTACCTGACAACTTCTGCATATTTCTCCTAATCACGGATGATGAAAGGTGAAGGGTCACACATCACATCATTTTCAAGAAAGTGTAGTTATGTTATTACACCATGATGAAAAGTTGTGTTCATATACCAAGCATTCATCTTGATCAGGGACGTCCTTGTCCAAATCGCTTGATGTTTTCTCTTCATAACTGATCGTTCCTCCTCCTTTTCAGTCATCCATCTTGTTGATAAATGGCTCATGGGGACATCAATCATTGATGTTGACGTCCAAACAAGTTCCAATAAAAAATTGCCATTTGTCAGCAAATGTTGAACTTAAACTCCCCAAGAAATAGAACTTATTATATTTTAATGACCTTTAGAATTATTATACCAGATAACCGTAGCATGATTTATAGTGTGGAGATGCCAACGATTTTTTTTTTCTGATTATGTGGCAATCGGCAGCCATCTTTTATTTCCTCCTCAGGATGTTATTGTTGGTCAGTTAAGTTTCAGGCAGTTGTTAGTTTTAACGTTTATATTTAGATTTTGTGATGGTTGGAACAAATCATGATGGTTGCCGACCTTCTCTTTGAGACATAGGTGACCTGATGGTGTCCAAGCTACCATCTGGGTCTGCTGGTGATATGGTTCTGTTTAAGCCTTTGCTTAGTGGGGTGATAGCTGGGCTGCCATTAGGGTGTAAGATGGGCCTGTTTACTACAGACAGATTATCTTTTTTGACCCTAGTGGCATCTTCTTTAGCATCCAAAACAAAGAACTATGTGGATTGACAAGGAGATTTATTGCTGGATGTTTTCCCGTCAGCAAATACTGCATCTAGGCTTTCCCATAAGGTGAGTTTGGATGAAAAAGTGTTTTTACCCTTAATTTGAGTAGGTAAAAGAGATGATCTTCTATTGTTATGAGATTTTTTACCCTTACAATAAGATATATAGATATTATCCATAATAGACATTGTGCATAATGAGAGAAATAAGAGACTCCAGTTTATTCTTATTTTAAATGTAAACTGTCTTGTTTCATTGGCAAAGTTTCTCACTTTCCTGCTCAGTTAAAGAAAAATGCACTTATTTTAAGAATAATTTACTCAGATTTCAAATTTTTTGCAGTGTCGTCCAGGGTTGAAATGTGTATCTCCTTTTTTCAGTAGCAGGAGAATTAAAGTGCTGTAAACATCCTTTTTACTTGGAAGTGCATCACAAAACCGCAATGCTTTAATGACATTTTCCTTTTTTTAGGATATAGGGTAATAGATCTTGATGGATATGATTTTCATCTGAAAATCATATTTAATGGTATACAGGGAAACTAAGGCTTTGAGCTGCTGGAGCAGTCAGAACACACAAAAAAACTGTTTAAAAATCACCAAACATTTTCCTTTTTCTTAAACTATGTATTAGTTACATTATTTTGTTATATCAAAGTATTAATGCTGAGAAGTACTGGCCCAAACTGAAGGAATCTGGAAAAATATGTAAATTATGAGGCTTGGCAAGAAGCATAATGAATTATATCCATCTTCAGCAGCCATTTGGTCCCAGATTGTCCAGTTTGCCTCAAACAATTGGATTTAAATGAAGATTTTTAGGTACAATTTCAACATTACAGATATTATTCAAAAAATGCTTAGATCACACCAAGTTTTCTATCAAAAATAATAATTTGTTTATATGTTGATGCTTTTTACTTTTAGGACTTGTAAGGTCTCTGAATTATATTCTTCTCAGCTTATTGAATAAAAGCACAGCGGAATGATTTTTCTGACTGTAAATTAAAGTCTTTTAACTGGTGGACTTCAAATCAATTTACATATTCTCCTCCTAATCTGTTATTTTCTAGGTTTTCTATAACCAAACATCTACTGTTAATTTAAGGGTTATGAGTTTATCAGATGCATTTTTAAAAATGTTGTTTATTTTGTTGTGCTTTTCAAATTGAGATTAATACAAGGTGCATTAAATAACTGGAAATCACCTCTTAAATAAAATGATCAATATCCAGGCCTGACCAGGTAAACCAAGAAGACAGATTAAAGAATTGCATTTGTATTTGTACATGTGCACATGTAGAACAAGTTAAATCTGCAGCAATGTTAGAGCCTTATTTCCCAGCTATATTCTAGTGTTACCCTGTTGTAAGTGTGGACGTATATGCCAGTCATTTTGCACTAGATGATTGAAGAGTATTTGATAAACGTGTTTTGTGAATGCGAATCCCACCCCTCAGCTTTTCCCACATTATCTTATTTCCACATATAAATCATCCCCTCAGGATAATGCTGCCACCCCTGTGCCAAATAAATAAAAAATACTGAGCATGTACACTAAATGATAAAATGGCAATAAGATAAGTCTGTGGTGGTAATGGGACAGACGACAGAAAAGATTAAACTGTGTTGTGAGGATTGGATTTAACATTGAGTTCATTCAAAAATCTTGTGTTTTTCTTATCCATAAGGCTCAAGAGAGACAGCATTTACCTACGCCATCAGCGCCGCCGGGGTCGTCAACGCCATCAGCCGGGCATGCCGCGAGGGCGAGCTCTCCACCTGCGGCTGCAGCCGTGCTGCCCGGCCCCGAGAACTGCCACGTGACTGGCTGTGGGGTGGCTGCGGCGACAACGTGCATTACGGCTACAGGTTCGCCAGGGAATTTGTCGATGCCAAGGAACGGGAGAAGAATTACCCACGCGGGTCAAAAGAGAACGCACGAATCCTCATGAACCTGCACAACAACGAAGCTGGGAGGCTGGTATGACCAAACAATAAATACCCTCAGTTTTTGTTCTGCTGTAGGAACTTCAATGGGGGGAAATGTGGTTTTCCTCTTTTTACCCACATACTATATCTGTATGTCTGTTAGGAATGTGTGTCAAAGTTGATGTGGCCTTCCCAAGCAGTGTTTCTGTGAGTGTGTGTGTGTAGGTTATTTATTGGGAGCCTGCAAATGGTACCACTGCTAACGCCCTTGGAGTTTAGCTGGGTCGCACAGGTCAAGGCACATTCCAGCCTTTTAACACACAGACGCACATGAATGCAGAGATAAACATGGACAGATGCAACAAAGTGGACGTAGACATTATTGAAATATGACAATGAAAGTCCATCTCATGCCATGTTTGCAAGAATCTACATATTTTTAAATGAGAAAAAACACTTAACTCAGAAAAGGTTGGCTAGCCTGTTTGGGTGCAGGCTGCTTATCTCCAGCACAGCTTTGTTTAAGCTGTTTACAGGACAGAGATGCTGTTTGTGTATATGCATGAATGCTCTGTTTGATTTGTGTGAGAGACAGTGAGCCCAGGTTTGTGTGTGTCAGAGGTCAAAGGTGAGGGTCTGGAGAGCTTGTGTTTCTGCTGACGGCCCCGTTGGGGCAATAGAAGAAAGTATGAGGAGAAAGATATACTGCCACGGCTTCGTATTAACGCATCCTTTCATATGTGCACCGTCTTTTGAAATAACTTTTCCTCCCTTCTGCTGTTTGATCCTTGGCTCTCATTGTCGTTTGTCCACCGAAATGGAAGAGAAGAGATGAAAAGGTGGGGAGGAAGACTGTTTCTCTCCTCCTCCCAATCCCTCCTTTCTGTCTTTCTTCCAAAGACACGCTGGTTTGTCCTAAGTGGGATTTGTCTTGCTTGGCTGAACAAGGCGAACCACAGAGTTTTTGTGACGGACGCAGGGGTCTGCCACTGTGTGTGTGTGTGTGTGTGTATGTATATTCTTTTGATTTGTGTGCACGGTGAACAACGTGATCCTTAGTGTTTGCTGGGATGTGGAGACAGATGCAGAACAAAGAGTAAAACTTTTTCAAAAAATATTCACATAATCAAATGCACATGTTGCCAGTTTAATATTTATAACAGAGAAGGTGGACTCAAACTGATGCAGACAGATGTGTTGCTCCCAGCTGGGAATCCGTTCAGGTGAAATGGCGTTCCTGAATTGTAGAGGTTTGAGTGCGAATTCTGTTGGCAACTCTGTTCTGACAAGATCACACGTAAACAAATGGTCTCCTGCAGAGAACATGCAGATAAAAAACATGTGCGAAGAGCATAGCCACAACATCCAAGTATGCCTTCTGTAAATCATGCTAATTTCCGACTTTTATGAGACCAACCTCAAACTTTGTTTGATTTTGCAACTCTGAGCTGGGAAGATGCACAACACATTCTAGTGTTTTTTAATCCATCCATCCATTTTCTATACTAGCTTAACCAAACTATAGAACATTTAAAGAAAACCAATGAGTAAGTTGCATGTATTTGATTTAAGAAAAAGATGAGGTACTAGAGGAGAACAAGCAAAGTCTCATGGATAAGAGACTCTATGCCAGTATGTAAATGTGGAACCTTTTTGACTAAAAGGTAAAACTGACAGTTGTTTCACCTTATAGGCCAACTTTACTGTATTTAAACTCAAAATAAGTTTTAACATACTTTTTTTTTTTTTTGGTTAGAATAGATTTTTTAAAAACAGTCAGAATTGTGCTCCTAGTAATTTCGAAATCATATCAAGGTCTAAAATTGCCACTGCAGATAGGTGCTTATATGCCCAGCCACATTTAAAGATGCTTAAGATTTAATGCGTTTGGAGATATAGTGCCATGAAAACATATATGGTTTCATGCTGACACTGTCCACTGCCATAAATAAACCATACTGTGACACATGGTGGTGGTAGCATCATGCTGTGGAAAGCATTTTTTTTAGCAGGGACAATGAAAGACTCGTTCCGAATAATAATACAATCAGACTGAAGGTAGAAAAATCTGGGATATTTTAATGTTTGTAAAACTCAACATATATATTTTTTTATATATCAACCACAGATTTAAAGTGTTTTTTAGAAATTTAGAAAAGCACTTGATCAAAAGACACCAGATAAACATACATGCTGTATATATGTTTCTGTTAAGGACTGTAGAAGTGTTGGAACAGCAGGAGTTTGTTTTTTATTTCCAACTAGGAGTTCAAACAAAACAGAGTGCATTTAATGTGACCTTTGCAAATGAACACACCTCCACAGTTCAGGGTTATAAAATGAAGAACTTCAGCTATTTACTACATTTGTTTAAAGGCTTTATTCCCAATTTGACAAGCATCATCCATGAGGGTTTCCATCACATATATCGTTCAGAGGGCTAAAGCCTGTCTAGATACGGTACAAGAGTCCAAAGTTCCTTTCCTACCCACAATAGTGTCCTTACTGTTTAACCCACAAGAGATGAAGGACGAGGAGCCAGGAGCTACAATTTGCTTTATTTGGATTGAACCAGTGAATGGTTTGTTTACACTGAGGTGTTTCACTTTACCACTAGATGGCACTAAATCTCAAGTTCTGCTCCTTTAAAATACAATGTCCTAGTGTTTAGTTGTTTTCTAGCCAGCAAAAAGGGAAAAATTAGGTGATTTGACAAAAAAACTGCAATTTAATCCCCTGATTTATTTTTTTTCAAAAAGCAATCAGACTAACGGCAACGTCAGCGAAGCATTAACACATGTTTGTTTTTTTCTTAACTTCTCACTGTATTCACAGCTTATCCTTCCACAAAAGGGTCCCTGTGTTCTCCATTTCTGTCTGTTTCAGAGACGAGCAAGCACACACACATGCACACAAATGCTCACTCTAACCCTGACTGAGAAAAACCTATTGTGCTTGACACAGAGAGCATGTCTCCTCCATGGATGACTGGCCATGAAGGTCCAGAGTCACTGTGCCCAGCAGGCATAACCCACCAAATACCTCACTGTGGTGTTAGACAAACAAATGCATGCCCTGATTGGACAAAATGAGGTTCCTGGCAGCTAATATTTGGTGATAAAGGTTTTTGAATGCATGAGATCACAGAAGGAATAAGTTGTCGTTATATCTTCAAGTGAAACCCTCTAAGTGTGTAGCCTTAAAAACAAATGCCATTGTCCCCTTGTTTCCCTTGCCTGTCTAAGGGGGTCGCGGGGGTCAGATCACAGGATTGCAGGGTGCCGAGTGCTATGCCTGCTGGGTAGTAAAATGGAGGATTGAGAGCAGGGGGTGGGAGGTGAGACACAGGGGTCAGGGGAGTTTGGGATGCAGAGGTTAACGGAGGTGAGAAGGTAATTGAGATCAGGCAACATGAGGAGGTAGAATGATTGGTTTCATTTGCGTCGAGGGAAATTAGGAATCGGAGGTAAATGATTCATTAAGTAAGTGTGTGGCACTGTTTCTCTTTGGCATTGCTGTGCATCCAAAACACAGTGCAAGGCTTCATAAAGGAGAGCATGTAATTTATGTAGGTGTTTTAGATGGAGGTGTTTTTATGCGTCTTGTTTATTAAAAGTTGTTTTGGTGACCTGGTAAAGCTGCGGGGTTTACTACTGCAGAGATCATAAATCTTCTATTTCCTGTTCTGTTTTTTTGTTTTAAACAAATCCACATGTTCAGAATGGATAATGTGAAGTAGAGAAAAGTTGTTAGACTGTTTTTTTTATTTCTGTTTACAACCCTGATACCTTCGGTATTTAGGGGGATCAGTGAAAAGTGTGGAGGTAACCTTTTCCATCAAAACCCCTTAATATGACGGTACACTAAAAAATTGCCTTCTGAAGTCATAAAGCAGTCCATCTATTTAAAATGTAATACCAGTATAAATACAGCTAATCTCTGATGTGATCATAATCATCAACCTTTGAGGATTTGATAGAGCTCTCTTCAGTCAACCAAAATATGAACAACTGGCCATTTGCAAACTTACCAAGATGTAACCGTCCACTTAAATTAACGTACTAAGCAAGAAGAGCACAAGTCGAAAAAGCAACCACTGTTAACCCTGATGGGGATGAAGATCTCCAGCTTTTGGTGCTCTTTTTTTCTTTTTCTTTCTGGAAATACATCTCTAAATCTATTGTTCAAAGAAATCTAGATAATTTGATATTTCTTACAAACTATAGAAAGGACACTGCTTCCTGACACTGACACACTGGTTGTGTGGATCGTCTGTTCAAGATCTACAGGAAGGCTGTCAAAGTTTCTCAGCGGTGTTGAGCATTAAGATTTATTTAGACATAAGTCATGTAATCAGATTCGTATTTGGAAATAAAATGGTTAAAATATTTTAGTTTTAATAAATAAACAAGGTAACAAAAGTACACCACTCTATTTGGATTAAATTTGTCACCATGTTTAAGCTGTTTTTTTTGCTTTTTTTTTTTTTAAACTAAATTAAATAACTTGATGTAGTATTAAATAAAATCCCATAAAATACATTGAAGATTTTGCATGCAACATGGCTAATATAGAAAAGTAGAATTTTCCAGGTTGGAATAAATCTAATTTTAATAAATAAATAAATATATATATATATATATATATATATATATATATATATATATATATATATATATATATATATATATATATGATATGGTAATGGTTGCCAATCACTTATCCATCAGTGTTGTTTGAAGAAATGTACCACAAATTGTGACAGTGGTACAGTCAGGAACATTCTNGTTGTTTGAAGAAATGTACCACAAATTGTGACAGTGGTACAGTCAGGAACATTCTGTGGAATAGTAGAAGTCCTGTAATTAGTCATTTTAACCACTAGATGGTAGCAGAATGCTACTCAAAATTAGGGATTCAAACTATCATCATCATACAGGTTTTAGTTTTAATGTTTATGTATATCTGTCTTTCATCAGGCAGTCTACAACCAAGCCCATGTTGCCTGTAAGTGTCATGGAGTCTCCGGTTCCTGCAGTTTGAAAACCTGTTGGCTTCAGCTGGCAGATTTCAGACGAGTCGGAGAATTTCTGAAAGAGAAATACGACAGTGCTGCAGCCATGCAGATCGGACGCAAGGTAAACTGTGCAATATGTAGTTACCAATAAAAACCTTAAGATTGTACCTTTTATATATGCTAACTTTTTTATTAGATAGTTTTTGTATAAGAGGCTGTGGTTAAATTCCAACTGATCCCATGCTTTATGGCACTGAGGTGAATAATCAGCTCATTCGTTAAGCTTTATTCTTCTGATGTAGAAATTAATTATGTGAAATACAATAATTCATGATGGGTCCTACATTTACATAAAGATTAATGTATAGAAATATGTGTGAAACATACATCTCCTTTTAAATAACTGGATGTCTAAGACCTTGAAAGTTTCAACTTCTGATAGGTTGTTTCTGAACTGAGAAACAATACCCAAAAATTTATGAACAATAGATATTTTATTTAAAATCTGGACCAATGTAAGTTCTCCTGAAACAGACTTGTCCAAGTTTCTTTCTCAAACTTCTTCCATTTTGTCCCGCCAGGGAAAGCTAGAGCTCAAAGACAAGCGCTTCAACAACCCAACACCTGAGGACATGGTCTACATTGACACGAGCCCCGACTACTGCCTCCGAAACGAGACCACGGGCTCGCTAGGAACGCATGGGCGTTACTGCAACAAAACCTCAGAGGGCATGGATGGCTGCGAGCTGATGTGCTGCGGCAGAGGGTACGACCAGTTCAAGACCTACAAGCACGAGCGCTGCCACTGCAAGTTCCACTGGTGCTGCTACGTCAAATGCAAGCGTTGCACGACGCTCGTGGACCAGTTTGTATGCAAATAACATGCGGGGGAGCTCTGGCCTAAAGAAGGGAGAAAATGTTGGAGATTGATGATGTCCTTTTTAATATAAAGAGCTGATTGATGGACTGGTGTATTAAAAAAAAAAAGATGTCCATTATCCTGACAACACTCCTGATTGGAAGGATGAAAGAGCAAAAGAGCACAAACGATGCACAAGTGAGGAAGAAAGGAGTCGGGAAAAAAAGGACCAAGCTTGAAGCCTTGCAGTGGGACACAGACCTGTGAGCTGAAGAGATTAAATAAATATATAAGTAAATGAAAAATAAATCTACAACTTATACATTTTAATTTAAAGAGACTTCAATTTGTTTCTAACTTTAAAGCAGCCTGACTCCTCTGTTTGCCCGCTGCTTTCTAAATGCAAGAGCACTGCTAACATCACCATAGGCACTCCCATCTTCACAGCAGGAGCAAAGAAACGCCCTAAAACACAGCCATCGGGAAGAGAACAAGTCAACGTCATAGAAATTAACCTTTGGTGCCTTGTTAAAGTATTCACACCCCATCAAATTAAGATGGAAGTAGTCAAATTTATGAGAAAAACAGAAAGTAGAGCATAACTATGCATTGAAAAGATGGTTTCAATATTTTTGCTGCAATATTTGGTACAAGGAGTTTTGGATATGTGGTTTTGATACTGCTGTTATATGTATATGTTATATGTATTCAAGAATGTCCACTAGAGGGTGTGGATCCACCAGCCTTGAACATTTGGAGACAGAAAAACACTTTCTTTTCAATCAGATTGGATGAAGTATTTGAAACATTAATTTTAAAGTATCCAAATAATTTTTTAAGACACAGTTTGATCAAATCCTTGATTCAGTCTTTGCTGTTTACATAGTTCTTTTTTTTTTTATCTAAACCGCTCCATTTTATCTCTTTGTTTATCTTTAGGGTTGTTGTCTTTAGAGATGAACGCACAGACCAGTCTGAAGTCTTCTAAAAAACATTTTCTTTTAAATTCTGATATTATGTCCAACTGGAGACAGAGTATAACCAGTTTATTTTGTTCTGGCTAAAGAACAGCATCTCCACACCGTCATCATTCCCTACTGATGTTAATAATTGATTAAACAGAGCTCTGTATGATGTTCAAGGCTTATATGATGGATTTAGAAGCTAAATCTGCTTTAAACTTCACAACTCTACCTTAATCTGTCTGCAGTCTTCTTTGTCATGCTGCTTGTTCACTAATGTCTGTCTATGACCAACCTCTGAGGCTTTTAAAGAACAGTCGCTTTGTAGTCAGATTAAATTATGCACAGATGGACTCCATCTACCATTAGAGGATGGAAATCTAATTTGTTTTATTGGGTTTTACTTACAGTAGGTGTACTGGGTTTGCTTTTTATTTGAGAACAAAATAGAACACCACATTATCTTTCTCTTCATAGTTATGTTCCACCTTATGTTGATTTATTAGATAAAATCCTGATAAAATACACTATAATTTGTAGCTGTGATGTGAATAAGGATATTGACTATTTTTGCAAGGCACTGCAAAAAACAAGATGTATCCAATTTTTTCTCCAGTGTGGTTTTTTTAGGGTCATTTGAAGCAACATCTGCAAAATAGTAATAATCATGCTTAAAAGGACAGGATGCACTCCCCTGTTTGTTACCTGACAAATGATCCTGTGAGCAGGTTAATGAGGCCTGCTGCTTGCAGCCGTCTTGACATTGTTGCTGTTTAAATAAGCAGTTTGCCGCCCAGCTCCATAACCTTCAGTGAACAAAACGTCCATTAGAGTGATTAATATGTGTGATCTGCCTTAATGAAAATGTGCAAAGAGACACGTTCGGTGTAACCTGGACCTTTTCGTCTTACAAAAGGTGTTGAGTGTTTTGTCGACTGCCTGCGACATTTGGTAACTCTGTTTGTGATGCAAGTTGTGGGCTGAAGAGGACTGAACATGCCGTGGAAAATAAGTGCAAGACGAAACAGAACAGGACTCAAACTTTGTACACGCTACTTTCAAGAGCAAGTCAATAAGAAATTATATTTTGTTAGTGTTTATAAGCTTGTGATGTTTTCTATGTTTTATACATGCATATCACTGTGTATTCTTTTGATAAAGTAGATTTTGAAAGAGAGGCTTTTTTTTTGCTGCAGTTTCTACTGGAGTCTCATCCAGGCCAACATGTTCCCTTCTCTACAGATAAGCCTTTATCTGGTGACTTCTTTTTTTTTTTTTCCTTTAAAAAATAATTCCTGCTCTGGAAAAACAAAAACAAAGTGAAGGGTGTAACTCTGTACAGAAATGTTCGGTTGAGTAAGAGGTGGAAAAAAACAAAGTAAATTGAAAGATAGCTTTTTATCAGTTTTTCCTGAAATTGTTCCCTATTACATTATCTAAAAGTTGTTTCCATCTGTCAGGCTCCTTTATTCTATCCATCCATTGGCCCAATCATCTGTCCTTACTATTATCAGGCCAAAAAAAAAAACCTTTCTCATGGTATCTTTCTTTGCTAATGGTTTATATCATTGTTGAGGATGTAGTTTAAATCCTACATAAATTATAAATCAGTTTTCTATCATCTCTAATCTATTGTAATTAAATGGCTATTTGCCTCAATATGTATCTGAAGGGAATTTGACAGAATTATTGTGGTGAGATAAAATATGATGATCGGTCTTATTTTTTAAGAGATGAAATACCAAAATGGAATTAGACTAAAATCAGTGGTTATTTCTGTTCAGTTTTTTAACCTTAAGGAAATTAAATGTTGTGACTCATATTGTAGGGATTTCTTCAGTGACTTTTTGTCTATGCTGATGGTAGGAAGTGTGTTCTGTAGTGGTCTGTCTTACAGCAGAGCTGGAGAAGCCTCTGAATGAAGGAATGTTGTTGTACCACAGTTGCTCAAAGGTGTCCCTGTTTTTTAATTTATGAAAAATCGCATGTGTGAAAAAATATCCCCAGGAGATCTAGAGAAGTTCTCTGATGCTGCTTCCTGAACTAATGATGGCATCATGGACTTGGATATGCAGCAGCTTGCTGCAAACGCTGAAGAACCTGAGCTTCCATAAGAAGTACAATCTGCTCTTGCATTAGAGCTAGTACTGAACATGTACTAAACATGTACTTAATGGATAGAGAAGTTCACATATAAATTACATTGTACCTGTAAACAAACCATTTTAACATATGTTGATCTAGAGCGGATTAATTGGTCTCCAAAGTTGATTCAATGTGCAAGAAGGTGTATCTATTTATAAATTTTTAAATTTAATATATATATTTTTTATTTAAATATAAAAGTTTTCCTCAGTTTTCTGATTAAACCACTTTCAGCTTTCCCCATTATTTTCTCAGCCTTTTCCCCTGAAGACCTTTGATTCCAACAGATGGCCAAACAGCTTGTCTCTGTCTATAAACTCCTTGTTTGTTCTACATTCCTGTCCCACTCCATCGATTATCCGCATGTAAACCCTTCAGATCCCTAACCTTTATTCTTTAAAATATCAAGTTAATTTTTAGTTGTCTCTTTAACTTCATAAAAACGCCCATGCAGTTTTATTCAACAACTATTTTCAATGTTTAGCACTGAATGTCAAGGCTAATCAGGTCAGAACCCTGACCCTACTAGCAATCCCATTAGTCGAAGCTGCGTGCAGGTAATGGGATTAGACAAGTGACCAAGGCTGCACAAGTGACCTAGAGCTCTGAGTCTGAATAATCCTCCCCACCTTACAGAGGACACTGCATGTCTGGGGTCATCCGTCACCGTGGACAAACCCTCATGGCTCAGTGGAGCTGGAAACACAATAATCACTCATATCTATAACTGATTATCTATAAAGGTAATAGAAGGTAGAGGTTAGAAGGTAATAAGGATTAGATAAGTGAAAGTGTAACCTTAGGTTACTCTGATCCTTCTTTTCTGACAGCCATCTGTTTTCAAAGGGCTGCCAGCTTGGAATTCACAAACTGAAAAACGATCTCTGAAGTTTCCACCCTTTTATACCTTAAGCTGCAATGATTTTTTTCTTTTTTTTTTTGGTTAAAGGTATAGTGGAGAATTTTCTTTTTCTGGGTAGATCATCAAAATAAGTGGTAAGGCTGTCCTACATGCTCGTCCCCATTTTCCCTTACCGGTGGTGAGTCTGACATAGTGGAAAAATTGCAAATCTTCTTTTGTAAAGTAAGCTTTTATGAGCGATGCAAACAGCAACTTTTAAACAGAGCGTGCACAAGGAGAAATGTGCTCATGCATGCTTTCGCCTACGATTAATAGGTGTTCCCTCTCGGGAGCAGGTACAGGGTTGTGCATGTATTTTTTAAAGTAGAGAGGGCGGGTCTTTTCAATTAGCAAAGATTCTTCACTAGCCCTTTAAGGTTATAATATCTAATGTTATAGTGTGACTTTAAAAGTATGTATCAGTCATAGGTGGTGAATTGAGCTGATGCCCACATCCAGCAGGCTTTGCCAAACATCGCAGGGAGACAAACGCACCTAAGAGAAGCTAAAAAACATGTTTCTGGAATGTGGGGGAAACCTGGGATACCCAAAGAGAACCAATTTTTTTGCATGCATGGGAAGGACATGCTAACCATGCAGAAAAAGCCAGAGTTGGGATTTAAAACCCAAGATAGTTGCAGTAAGGTAACAGTATAGAGAAAGGGGGATGATAATTCAGGAAGTGGTATTTGTGAAAAAAAAAATGTAATGTCTTCCACTTTATTATGTAAAAAAAAAATTGTAGAAAATTTTTTTTTTGCATGTAAACTATGGAACAAATATAGTCTAAATAGAATCAGACATTGTTTAGACATTTATAACACATCATTTTTAACCTATGCAATTATGTATTTGAATGTTTACTTTAAATTCACCAGCAAAAATTTAATTTGCATTTAAATTGTTGAATATTATTTTTCTTTACATTTGAATTTATGGAGGTGAATTTCTGCTGACAACTTTTTTTAAGGCTGATTTTATGCGTTTGAATTTTTGCAGCTGATTTCTTTAATGTGAAATGCTGCAATACATTTTTACAGGTAAAATAGTTGTTGGTGAATTTAAAGTACAAAAAAAGTCTAATGAAAAATTGCATTGGTTAAACTTTTTTTTGTTATAAATCAAAGTTTGTTATCAATTTAATGTCTAAAAAAGTTCAGATTTTAACGAGTATTTTTCTTAAATGATAAACTGTACTAGACCTAAAGCTGTTATTTTATGTTAAATTTTTTTTTTTATGTACACTTTCGTTACATAAAAAAAAAAACTTTCGTTTCGTTCTGCAATATTTGCCTTAAACCATCATAGTGCTGACTTTTTAGGGTTGAATAGAGGCTATTGCATTGCTTTTACATCAGTGTGAGTAACTACTAAAGCTTTTGGTTGCTATATGCCAAAATACAGGGAGGAATCATTAGATTTAAACACTTTTGCTAATGTATATACTGTATTTATTTTTCTCTTTCTCTTGTTTTTGCTTTCCTTGACATTGAGCAATGACACTATTATCCCTACAAGCTGTTTTCTGTACAAGCAGGAGTAAGAGCTGCTTTTTCTTCTGAAACGATAATAGAACC